GTTTATAATTATGTATTTTATATTTATTGTGAATTATTATTAGTTGGTATTAGCAATAACTATTATATAATATAATAGAAAAATACATAAGTACACTTAATAGGATGTGTTCATGTGATTAGTAAAAAAATATTAATGATAAATTTTGTAACTGAAAATAGAGGAAAAAATTTAGAGGTTTTATTAAGTAGGTAAAAAAATACATAAGTACACTTAATAGGATGTGTTAATATGCTAAGTAAAAAATATTAATGATAAATTTTGTAACTGAAAATAGAGGAAAAATTTTATAGGTTTTATTAAGTAGGTAAAATTAAATGCTAAGCTAGCAATTATATATATATATATATATATATATATATATATTATTAAAAAACAATTGTTTATAAGATTCTAAAGTTGTTTAACTATGCTATTAAAATAATTTGCTAATTGTTTTTAAAGATTTTTTTTTTAGATACGAAAGAAAAAGATAATATTGATGTTAAAATTCATAACTTGAAACAATTGTTTGTAATTTATATTTATTGTAAATTATTATTAGTTGGTATTAGCAATAACTATAGAAACATACATGATTACACTCATTAAGATGTACTAATGTGAGAAGTAAAAAAATCAATGACAAATTTTGTAACCGAAAATAGAGGGAAAATTTTAGAGGTTTTATTAAATAGGTTTTATTAAATGCTACATGCGAGCAATTATATATATATAGATAATCTAGGTTCGGGTATTCCATAAATATTATTTATCTAACTTAGGTATTTTAATATCACTTTTACTAATATATCCTTGATTTTGATTTGCTTCCTTCAATAAGCTATTGAATTATAAATGTATTTTAAAAGTTGATAACTTTCGTATTTCTTATCGGTTTTACATATATAATATATCAAATTAATCATATTTTGATGATCTTCGATTTGACATCCATATTGTATATATGAAATAAATAAATATCTTTTTATAATAGTAAAAAATAATAATATTTATCAAAATTCATTCTCAATTGATATATTTATATTTAATGTAGTTATATGTTGTAAGTTAAAAAAATTAGTATAATATAACACAAGTAAGTCGCACAAATAAGAAATGTCATAATAAATTTATAATAATATATATATTCTTATAAAAGGTATTTAAATTTTCAAACTACTTTTTCAGTTTTTCTCATTAATTTTAGATTTAAAAAAAAAAAATTAGCAAGTACTCGTGTAATACACGTGTGGTGTACTAGTAGATCAATATAGATCAATCCTAAAAAAAAGTAAAATCAACCAATATAAGTTGTATGTCGAGACAATTATTTTTTACTGATTTTATTTACTAAAAAGTAGTAGCAAAAAAATAGGTCAGCATTTATTGCAACCCATAAATAGTAGTTTTATTATTTTTCTTTAAAAATAAACAATTTAATATATTTATAAATATGATTTAATATAATCATAGAATTTAATATATTTATAAACACGCTTTAATATAATCATACAATTTAATTTATTAAAATCATACAATTTAATTTTTTCTTTGAAAAAATGCTTTAATATATATATATATATATATATATATATATATATATATATATATTACTTTTTGTAATAAATTCATATAAAATGTGTTACTTAAATATCTAAACAATTTAAAAATTCAATATTTAAACTAATTGATAAACAATTTATAAATCTTTATTTTATTTAAATATGTAATTTTATTTAAAATAATTTGAAATGTAACAAAATTTATTTAAAAAATCGTATCCGATCCTACCAGCTCAACCGACTGGTGTTGATGGATTCAATAACAAATATTTTATTAAAGCGAACTAGACTTATTATAAATCGGTTCTCGGTCCATCCAGTCGGACTGTGTCAAACACGTTTAATTTAAAAGCGATGTGTAAATCTTGATTTATTTATTTGTATATTTAATTTATACATATTGTCTTTTTCGTGCATCGCACGGGCCCCACACTAGTTATAAATAAAGATTATGAGAAATATTAACATGTGCAATTACTCTATGAGAAATATGATTATATATGTGCAATTATTTTGGAAGACCTACATTATACTCCTTTTATTTTGTGTGTAAAAGAGCTCAATATTTATTTATTTAATAGAAAAACGTGCAACAATGTTCACAATGAACAAAACTAAATCCGGAAATAAACGAATCCCTCTCCACCATTTTCATGTCTGCAAAAGCTCCAAAATCAAGCTCGGCCTTTTCGTTGACTTCCACATGACTTGTACTATGGTTTTTGCTGTTTCCAGTCCTTCATCATCGTCTTTCCTTCATTATTCTTCCTCTCCTTCATCTTCTTCTTCGTCCACTGGTCGTAAACTCTCACCTCACTGTTATTTCTCAAACTCTGCAACCCCTAAAAATGCAATCTTTCGGCAAATTAGATGCTTTCCGCAGCTGGGTTTGTCTCCTTTTCATCAGTGGAGTGGACTCAAGCTCACGGGCGGCACAATTTCTCGATACTCGGTGAAGTTTGGTAGATCCCTTCTTTGCTTATAGAGGTTTTCTTGATTTGATTGGTGAACTGTGTGTGGGTTTTGTTCTGTTTTTCCTATTGTGAAATTAAATGTGTTTGTGTAGAAATTTTAGATGTTCTTGAAGTAAAGCTGTTAGCTTTAATGTGTTCTTGAGTGTATTCTGCTGGTGTTGGTGTTGTTTGCAGGCAGAAAGAGAAATCGTAAAGGTAAAGGAGTTTATGCTTCTTTGTTTGGAGTTGGGGCACCTGAAGCTCTGGTTATTGGTGTGGTGGCTCTGTTAGTCTTTGGACCTAAAGGTCTTGCTGAGGTTAGTACCCTTTTGTTTTTATGTATGTCTGAATCCAAATGGGTTTCATTTTCCATGTGTTTTGTTACTTGTATTTGGAAGTCAGTGTGGAAATTCGGAAAAAGTTAGTATGGTTAGTTGTTAGTGGGATTTTAAGTTTGTATTAAAATAATATTTGAAATAAAATGATTAATATTTGAAATCATCGATTGTTGCTGAATTAGAAGAGTCGAAAAGCAAATAAACAAAAGATTGCTCTCATTGCTAATAGACTTGTAAATCTTGGCAGCAGTGGACAATATGTTAACAAACATGAGAGTAGTTAATGGAATAGGCAAAGTTTTCTGTCGAAAATATACAGTTTCATACTCAAATGTCATCCCTTTCAAGACAGCGTAAAAACAAATAATGTAAAGTTTTGCATTTGTAAAAGTATGCAGTGTTGTTGTAGAAGTATGCGTTTTGACATGTTAGGCTAACCGACAAACTGAGACAAACTGTTTTCGTGTAGTCTGCTATCTGACAGAATAGTTTATGTTTGCCTGATGAATGTGAATACATATGGGCATATTGTTGCCCATATGTATTCACATTGATGGAAGTTAACCTCAGCAGATCAGGCTATGAAAAATTTCTCTTCATATTGTTGCCGATGATGGAATATCCTAAAGCAAAAATATTATACAATTATTTTGTCTATGTGAATTGCAGTTTATGCAAGTGGAGACCTCAATTTGATCAAGCTTACTGTAAAAAAAAAAAACACTTTCAATAGAAGCTGCCTTTTTTTTCTGACACTAATTTATTGTATTTCTCGCTGGTAGGTCGCTCGTAACCTGGGCAAAACTTTACGAGCTTTCCAACCAACAATTAGAGAACTTCAGGTTAAGTCTTTTTTTCGTTCTCTTTTTACAATTTTGAATGCAAAAATGTTACTCGTGACATGTTATGAATTTAGAAATCGTTGTTTGAAGTTTTTTTTTTTTTTTTTTTTTTGTTCTTTTTGTCTTCCCAACTACAGGAGGTGTCGAGAGAATTCAAGAGCACCCTTGAGAAAGAAATTGGTCTTGATGATACCGATTATCGGGTGCCAAAAAATTTGAGTCCCGACACAACTAAGCCCACACCAGGGGACAAATTAGAGGACTTCGGGGCAAACACTGAACTCAGTAAGTCAAAAAACTTGAAACAAGTTTTTTCTCTTATAATTCAACTGTGATATGTGTTTTCCATTTGCCTTTGTTATTTATAAGATCAGCTTCTCATATTGAGATGTTGCTAGAATGGTGGTTTGTGTATGAAGAACTAGTCGAAATTTTCCTTCCCTTATCTTATATTAACTTTAAAAATTTATATTTGTGTTACAAATTACAATCCCCCCCTTGCAGAAGCAAAACTTTCTTCCTCGTTTATGAAAATATAATAGCTAGCCCCGTTTTATCTAAAAAGTCTTAAAATGGCATAAATTCCCAATTGAATACACCCCCCTCATGATTGGATTTTTCATAGTTTTCTGAAGTCAACTGGACAGTTTTTATAATTAGGTGAAAACTGAAGGTTAGATTTTGAAATAATCCCTGGCCTCTTTTACTTTATGGGGTGGGATAGGATGGGATTAGACAACTTTAATCCCATCAACTTTACACGTTAGCTTGTGTCCACTGTTTACAAAACAAGATGCATTTTAAGGCAAAAACAATCAAGCAAGCAAGCAATTAATTACTAACCTGGATAAAATGACAGGATAAAAAGTAAAATATGAGTAAAAGTGTGGGACACACAGGACAAGTTATATGGCCTAAATCTGTAATTTGGTAATTTGGTTGACTTCTGAGCGTAAAAGGGACATTTCACGTGCCAATTTTTGGACAAAATACTCATTTGTATGGTGGGATTAAACTGTTCCACCCTCGAGACTGGATCCTGCCAATCGTGCATAAAAGTGTGGGACCCACAGGACACATTGGCTTATTATCTAATCCCATCATGGTTACTAAACGTTGGATACCAACAGGAGTTATCCAACCATATCCTATCTTATCCCCTTAAATAACAGTGGCCTAAATGATATTCGCATAACTAATAAATAATATGTAAAGTCCGACTTTTTCTTTATGGCTTATTTTGCGTAGTGAAGGAATGAGTATCATTTTGCCTTCAAAAACTGCAGATAGATCTTCACCTGAAAATTCAGAGGACTCGGCTGAGGACGGTTTAAAGGTCAAAGCGGACAAATTTAGAGGAGCTCTTGCGCAGCTGCAGAAAGAGCAAGACGAGGAGAAAGAGAAAGAGAAAGAGAGAGAGGAAGAGAAAGCTCAAAGTGTAGAAGAATCCGAGTCTTCTTCTACAGGTCTAAAATCTATCCATTTTACTTTCATGTTAATGAGTTAATTATTCCCATATAAAAGCTTTTAAATACTCAACAAGAAGCTTCTTCTGCAGTTACAGTTACTGCTGTTATATCTGAGAACGAAGACAATAATGCTTCTCAAGAAGCTGCTTCAGTAGCGGCAACTGCACCAAATCTCGAATCTCAGAGCTGAAAACTTGGAGAGATAGTGAAAAGAACATGTAGTTTGTTTTAAAAACGTGTAATAATGAGTTGGAAATGTGTTGTTTTTGGGACAATCATTCGAGTGAAGGTTATATTAGGATTTATTGCTTTTTTATCTGTTGGAGTATTCGATTTTATCGGTACATGCACTACAGTCACTGAATTTTTTTACCATCTCTTGGAGCATTCCCAAGTTGATTCAACGATGAAAAACCTAGTGTTTGTAGGTAGGGTTAAATTTTCCCTCTCTTTATTTCTTTTATTAATAAAACTATGACAGGTCGATCAGTCTAATTGTTATGGAGTTATGTGCCCTCACCATAAACTTTGTGTTAGTTTCAAAGTTAGACTAGTTAATAACGTGTGAAATTATAAGGTCTTTTTCTGACATATATGTTGATCCGACTGTTGAAACCCGTAGGAGTGTTCATGAAATTCATATTTTTTCTATAGTCAATGCCTTTGAGTAGTAATTCTTTCCCGCCATTGAAATTGCAAAACTTGCTTCCTGGGAATATATTCTAACACTCGATGAATTCTTAGAACTTTTGGGTGGAATGGGAATTGTAATTCTTTCTACGTCACGAGGTATAATGACAGACCGGGAGGCTCGACTAAAAGGAATCGGGGGAGAAATTTTATGTTAACAAACAAATTATTTCAAATATTATTGAAATGTACTATTTTTCTTCGAAATTTTTAAATTATCAAGTGGCACTAATTAAATTAGATTAATAAATACTTTTTTTTTTTTTAAGAAAGATTAAGAAATACATTAATACAAATTAATGTAGCTTAATCATCTGGGCTTAATGTTAAAAGGCCCAAATAGCATAAACCATCAAATAGACCCCCTTGTGGGTGGCCCATACGATATCCCATCTAACCCAACGCCCAATCCAAAAACCTCCCAAAACCCTCTCTCCCTTTCTCTCTCCTCTCTCCATAGCTTCTGCAACTCTTACCATGCTTTCTCGCTTCATCTCCAAATCTTCCCAAATTCATCGTCTGCTAACCCTAATCCCGTCACAGACCCACCTCGTCTTCCCCAAATCTATCACCCGTAGCTCCTTATTTTCAAATCCCGCGCACCATTTCGCCCCGAGAAATCCCCATTTCTCGTTTTTCTCTACAAGCGGGAAAAATGGAAACTCCGGAGATGATTCAGCTACCTCAACCACGGATTTGTGGAAAATGTCGTCCGATTTAGACGGAGACATCGAGTCCGTGTTCTCCATTGATTCCGGGGACCTCGAGGGATTCCGCAGTCCGAACGACGGCGTAGCGGATGCCGGAGATGGTGGGTCCGGTGATAATTTTGGGGGTGTGGCGGAGAATGGTTCCGGCGGCGGGAGTGTGGATCTGGGGGCGGAAGAAGATTTTCAACCTTGGAGTTTTGCGGCGGAGGAGAAGGAGAAGTCGGTTGAGGATTTGTTTGGTATTGAGGCAAAGGCGGGGAGTATCGAGGAAGGGTTGAGTGGTTTGGAAGATGGAGTGGGGAAGGAGATCGATAGGGTCGAGAAGAGCGAGGAGGAGAAGCAGCTTGAATCGGAGGCCAAGGCTTTAACGGCTGTTCTCCAAGGTGTGTTGTTAACCTCATTTGAATGACTTTTTATCACCTGTGTGCTGCATAGACTGATAAGACGCTTCCTCAATGTAATGGTAGTGGAAGTACGTAGTTTCGTGGGGCTGTAGTGTTGAAGCTTGTATAAGGAAGTGTAGATACTTAATACATCTCCCTCTGTGCGTGCGTGTGTGTGTTAAGTTTGTGTCTAATATTCGACTTCTGGTATTTGATAATATATCTTTCCGGTGTTGGGAATTTCAGTTTGTAGTTACTTTGGATTCGTTTAATGAGTATGAAATGGGGTTATTGGCTTTAAGAGTGATGTGAATGAGATGATAGCTGGATTAATAGGTGTTTGCATTCATTTGTTGATACATCTTCAAACTGAGTGTCTCGAGAGAAATATATGATTCTGTGTTGCGAGTTTATTTATTTATGCCTATATATGATTTAGAAGATTGGACAATTTTCTTTTAATGTCTTTAGAGTGTAATTTTCGAATAGCATAACTTTCCAGATGTTTGCTTTATTCCTTAGTTCCCTTTTAAACTTGACAATGGGTGCAATCCCTCCCTATATATTAATTCAAAACGTGTTGAGCCTAGGTGGCAGATTCTCACGCTTCGGATGCTGACATGGCGAAAATCTATGCTTTGTGATGTCATTTTTATATTATTTTTGCTCTGGAGTTAGGTTTGGTATTAGAAATAAATAACTTTACACATATATTCATTAACTCAACACACAGCTCTTGTTATTGAGAGGCATTGGTCCATGTTGTACATAGGTATTAGTACTAGTTAAGCTATAATAGTGAAATGTTTAAAATAAGTTAAAGCTCTTGACTATGTGGTTCCACATCTGCATGTTACTTTTGGGTTTTCTTAGCTAATACATCTTTTTGACAGAGGTATACATGCTTTAGGCTGGGTTTATTTTGATTAGTTTGCTCATTCTCTTGCCTGTACAGTAATATTCTAGTCTTTTAAATCTATGTTACATGGAAATGTTTGATTAACTACCTGTATTTGAGATTTCTGGCTTATCATCTAACTTCAGTAGCAAGTTTCTTATTCTGTTATCCCTATTGGGAGAACAGGGGTTGTATTTTCTTAAGAATTGGAATACTGTACATGCAAATCACTGTGCTTTCGTGGCTATTCTCCAGGAATGCACCTTTCGGATTCTGATTGTAGAGTTCTTCGTTATTCATGATATATTTACAATATTATTTTAAACTGGGATCTCTGCAGAAATAAATTCAAGATCGTATGTTGACTCATGTTGTAAATTCAGAAATATTATTTTATGAACTAATGTCCATTGTTCAAGTGAATTCAGGCCAGTTCTGCACCAATTATTTTTGCTTACTATTTATACCTAGAAGTTCTTGCTCAGTTCACTTAAAACATTTATTACTGAGAAGAAAGACTTTGTTTTACCTGGCAATGTTTTTTTTTCCAAGTTAACCATTTTGGTCCAAAGATCTTTATTCTAGGATACTCTGCTGAAACCTATTTTCAATTTTGCTTCTTTTTTCAGGCCCAGATCGTGCATTTGGCGATCTTATTGCCTCATCGGGAATAACCGATGAGATGCTGGACAGTTTAATTGCACTGAAGGATTTCGAAGGAATCAAGGGACTACCCCCTCTATCCGAAATCGAGGACATGCGTTACCAAAAGAACACCAAGAAGTCGAGCAGAGCCGAAATCGAGCGCCAGAAGCAAGAGGAGGTGGCCAAGGCGCGCGTCAGGCAAGTTGATGCCAAGGGAAGAGCTTATGGGACGGGAAGAAGGAAATGCAGCATAGCCCGTGTCTGGATCCAGGCTGGTGAGGGGAAATTCTTGGTGAACGATAAGGAGTTTGACGTGTATTTCCCGATGATTGATCATCGTGCAACCCTCCTTCGGCCTTTCTCAGAGACGAAAACACTGGGCATGTGGGATGTCAATTGTACTGTCAAAGGGGGTGGCACCTCAGGTCAGTATTTGGCTTGAAAAACTGTAGACTTGGGTACACCAAATTTCGCTCAAGATGGATTTTTTTGGTTAACCAATTTGGAAAATTTTGGTATGGTTAGCTGTTAGTGAGATTTTGAGTTTATAATAATAATATTTCAAAATGTAATAATTAAAACTGATTTGATGTAAAAGTATGAGAGAGATGATATGAGGTGATGGTTAGCTAAAATTATGTGAGTGGATAAATAGTGAATTAAAGTTGATGTGATGTGTAAGAATAAATATTATTTAATTATATTCATAATATTGAGGATAGTGGGGTTGGGTTAAGGGTGAGTTAGACTTTGAGCATGGATTGAATATAAATTGAGTTATTTTATATGCAACACACTCTTAAGATCATGTTAATGAGTGCTTGGTCTTAGTCCACTGTCCACATTACTGTCTCATATATTTCATGTGTTCAATCACATATATGACTTAACTTACAAGAATCCTTTGCTTTTTATTAAAGCAGGAAGCTTTGTTTGACTGTTGTATGCCTTTAACGAAATTTCTTTTATTAATCTTAACAAAGTAGTGATACTTTTGTCAGCTAGTTCATGTGTTAGATTTTGCTTATCGTTTGTTACTTATTTTTCTTGGTTATTAGTCACAGATTTGTGCTCCCTTTCTCTTTGTGTATTTATGCACTAACCAACCTTACAGGCCAAGTTGGAGCAATCCGGTTAGGCATCAGCAGAGCATTACAAAACTGGGAACCCGAATTCCGTCCTCCTTTGAAACAAGGTTTGATTTTCTATGAACATAGTTTCTTTTCCTTTTTATATTTTGGGTTTTCCTTATTCGGCAAAGTACGCTTTTCTATCGGCCAGTGATAGTATATGTGGATAGCTAAAACTAATTATCTTTGAGATCTACTCCTTTCTTGAAACTACAAATACCCCCAGGTTTGTGTTTACATTAAAACTTGCTTCTGTTGGGGTTTACCATGTAAAATAAACACAGACCTTTAGCCCTTTAGGAGTTATTTTGTAATTCTCCCTTCATATTAAGCCATTTGATATCAAATTTCATGTCAAAAAGCATTTTGGCCGCATCTCAATTTACATCTATGTTCTTTCTCTCTTCAGCTGGTTTTCTGACGAGAGATCCGAGAGTTGTGGAGAGGAAAAAGCCCGGCAAAGCGAAAGCAAGGAAAAGCTTCCAATGGGTCAAACGTTAGAAAAAACCGGATGTTTTTTCTTTTTATTTTTTGTGTTCTTGGCTGTAATAAGAAGCTAAGTTGGTCTCTGCTCTTCTATGCGCAACACTACTATATGGTGTTATATCATGTTTCGTCTTAAAATGTAAGAAAGACACGAACAATTGCTCGCAGTTCTCGTCTTTTTTTGGTTATACACATGGGGCAACAGGTGTATTGAAGTATCTACTGATCTGTACTGTAGGATTTTTAGCATGATGATTCATTTTTTAGTAGACAAACACGAATAGTTTGTGACTTGATTTTATTTTACGGTCAACCAAAAGATGAAAAACTAACATGGTTTTGTCTTTTGACATGCTGATAAAATTGATCTTGCTCCTTCCAAACCATAATATACAATAAAATCTCTGTTCGTCGTACATACAATCAGCTGAACTAACATCATGGTGTCATGACCATATTTACATTAACAGATTGTTGTAACTTTAAAGTACATTTTATCTCCTTTATTGTATCCATTGTCGAAAGAAAACATGCGACAAAATAGCCATCCGTTTCTCATTTCACAACAATGATGGATGCACGTATAGATTATTTACCACAACTCGTAAAGTTAATCATAAATCTATTCAAAAAAAAAAATGGGCATTGTTCACGAGAAGCTCCCTACTAAGGAGTTGTAGATTTTTCTGGGATACTCTCTTGGCCATTCGTTCTTCAGCGCACAATATCTTCGCATTTTCATTCCAGAAAATGCAAAAGTTATACGAATAGAGATCATAACTGTTGCATAATCCTCTCACAATGTTTCACATTTTCTGGATGAAAATGTTAAATTATCTGCGAGGGTAAGAGAAACTTAATATATTTTTATATTGGAGTAAAAAAAATGTGCACTTTTTTTTTAACATAAAAAAAATGCATGTTTGTGCAATGAAATAACATGCTTTCTATTTACATTTAAATTTAAAATTATGAATATCTGTTAAATTAACGCCTTAACATTAGTCATACTAATAAAATAATGAGTATAATATGTGTTCTTTTTTCAATTTAAAGCCTAAACATTAGGCATACTAATAAAAATAATGTGTATAGTATGTGTTCTTTTTTCAATATATTTTTATGCTATGTGGCATGGCATCCAACTACACAAATATATGTATATTTAATTGAAGTTGAGATTATAATTTGCATCTATGCCTAGGTTTACTTTATGACTAAATCTATAAGCCTTTTTTAAGTTTTAAGTTTGAAGATTATTAGAGATAAGAAAGTGGAGAAGCACATATCCATGACCTTTCATTTGAGATTGGTAGTCAATAAATGAAATTTGTTGTGTGCTTGTTTTAAATTGTTTTGATGTGGATTTTAAATATTTTTTCATTAGAGTAATTCTATTATATTTTTTAAAATTAAATAAAATTTAATATGACAATGAGTTTTAGAATTAAATAAAAAGGTAAGTAAGATATATTGATATAAACTACGTAAAACTATTTTTTTCTATAACAAGAAATAAATATAATTATTAAAATTTTGTTCACTTACACTATAATAAAATGATTAAATTCTAACGGAATACTATAACCAAAATATATTTTAATGGAATTCCAACGACAATTCCAATGAATATTTCAATGTTATTATTTCCGTTATAATTTTTAAATTGATTCCAACAAAATTCCAACAAAGTTGTTCCGTTGTAATGAGTTTTTCATTGGAATTTCCGTTCGATTTTGACGATTCCAACGATTGAAATATAAATGAAAATAAAAACTCATTCCGTCTAACATTTTAATGAAAAACTAATTTCAACGAAAATTGTACCATTAGAATAATCATTGAAATTTCTAACGAATTATAACATCATGGGGTTTTTCGTGAAATATTACATTTTTTTTTCTTTCTAGTGTTAATATAAACTAGCAAACTAACTAGTTAATATTCGGGCTGGTCTTGAAGGGCTCGGACTAAATATAAAATGAACTCTTAATTTAAAGACCAAATTGCATATTAATGCAAAATTTTCATGTTTTTATAATTTAATCATCAGATTTGAAATTTTGCAAATTAATACACCACTTTTTACTATTTTTTCAAATCGATACATGGTTCTATCAACAAAGATCTGACATGGCATTGACGTGGCTTAATGTCATGTCAGATTTTCGTTAGATTTGTTAACGTAACCGTCATTCATGCATCGATTTGTAAAAATGGTAAATGTGGTGTATTAATTTACAAAATTTCAAAGGTGACAGTTAAATTGCAAAAAATCATGAAAAG